CATATACAAGCTTAGGTAGATAGTTAGATATTTTGGATGCATAAACAGATAATTAGTTGAACAGATACATAGATAGTTATATATGTGTATACATAGACATAGAGATTGATAAAAATTTACATATACTTTGTATAGATAGAAAGGAATAGAGAGATAGATATTCAGATATATGTGATTGTAGATAGTCAGATATACACTATAGATTGATAGTTAGATTTACAGAGGTACATATATATAGGCAGGTATACAGATAGTTAGATATGTTAGTAAACAGAGGTATATTGATAGGTATACAGATATGTAAATAGTTAGGTATACAGATGTATATTGATAGGTAGATAGATAGGGAGACATTCAGACATACGCTGAGATAGATAGTCAAAAAATAGATAGATAGATAGTCAAAGAATAGATAGATAGATAGTCTAAATCTTTTTCAAATAAAGGTTTTTCTCATTTACAATTTACTTTGTTCTTACAATACTATCGTTTAAAATGAACAAAATAACGAATTTAAAGTTCTAAGAGGTGAGAACAGGATAGCACGGTTTCTGGATAAATAATGATGTGAGCTTAAGTTTAATCGACCACGCCCATGTCTTCAGATACGCCCTAACTCCAGGTTAACTGTCCGGAATGTTGAGTATTTTACTCCAATATTGTAACCGGACCTCAAACCTGGCGTGTATGCTACTGATTTCACGATTTGACACTATTTTAATGTTCTCGCTTAAATATTTTCTCTTCAAATGTCAATAAATGTTTTTAGGAAACAAATATATTCAAATTCTAAATTTGGGAGTAAAAAAACTTTGTTAAAAAGAAATGAAGTTGATCAACCAAAACAGCAAAACTTTTTGAAACGTCAATGTCATTTTTTGTTATGACTTGCTATCATATCAAAGATTGACAAGGAAGGGGTGTTAGATGCATAAAATGAACAAATATTTATGCATACATATCATTTTAAAAGTTATGAATATGATACATTGAAACTGTTTTGGTCTAACTGTACAACTTCCATTAGCTGAATTAACGTAAACCCGAGTTCGAATTTAATGAATTTAAGCCGCGTCACAAATCCGCCAAAAACCGGTTTTATTCTTGAAATATTGAATACAATTTTAAGTGCAACCAACCATAGTTGAGCCGCGTCTCACATTTTAAGCCGCGGCTCAAATTCTTTAAATTCGGTCTCTGCTACTTTAGTTGAACTGGAGTTTTCAGTGTGATAGCTTATGATTTTTTTAATTTAGGGAAGCCTTTTTTTTCAGCTAACATGAGTTGAGTAAATCAGATGACATGATTTGAGTATATCAGCCGAATGGCAGACATTTTGAATTCTTGACCTTCATATCTCACACTGCAGACTTTTGATGATAAACACAATGGATGGAATTCTATTGTTGGTTTTAGTACTCATCCTATCATGTAGAGACGTTTAAACCTATCCTCTTCTCGATCAATAGTACCCAGATTTCATGGGGTAAATCCACCCTTATCATAAGGCACCTCTGGAAGTATAAGTACATATGAAATTGTGAGTATAAGATATTTATATGAGAAATATATGAATATCTGTAAATGTATAAATGTATAAGATGTATATAAGATGTATAAGGATATCTGTATAAAATGTTTATTAGAAGTATTAGAATATCTATTAAATGTAAATATGTATAAAAAGTATATAAGATGTTTAAGGATATTTGTATAAGAAGTAAATAAGAAGTAAAAAAATATCTGTAAATGTATATATGTTATAAGAAGTATATAAAAAGTATTTTAGATGTTTAAGGATATCTGTATATGTGTATATGTATAAGAAGTATATAAGAAGTATAAAAATATCTGTAAATGTATTAATGTTTAAGAAGTATATAAGATGTATATAAGATGTATAAGAATATCTGTGAATGTATATATGTTATACGAAGTATATAAGATGTATAAGGATATCTGTAAATGTATATATATATAAGAAGTATATAAGATGTATAAGAATATCTGTAAATGTATATATGTTAAAAGAAGTATATATAAGATGTAGACGAATATCTGTGAATGTATATATGTTATAAGAAGTATATAAGAAGTATCTAAGAAGTATAAGGATATCTGTAAATGTATATTTATATATATAGATGTGTATAAGCTGTATATAAGAAGTAGTCTAGATAAGAAGAGGATGAATGAATGCATGAATAAATATTGTATTGTATATAAAGGATTACCTGTAAACCCCTTCACTCAGTATTCAACATATAAAAAGATATAAAAACATGGAGAAATAAATAAACAGATCTAGGATCAAATAGTTTTTTTTTAGTTGATTTCCGAACTTCGGCAATAAAACACCAATATGAAAATCAAAAGCTGTTAGCAAAGTGTTTGCAAAAGTGATTGAAAATATATGTACATTGTACATAATGATTTCCGATTTTTATCAACTATTACTTACGTAAAAGTCTGGAATTCTTATCGAATTTTTAACTATACATTTCGATTTTCTATTATACAATTTATCACTTTCATATGCAGTTCTCTATAAAAGTGACTTGTGGATTCACGAGAGAGGAGTAAAAAGGAAATATTCACCAATTTTCCAGATTGAAAAACGACGATATCTTCCTCAATGTTGCTCAGATAACGATTCTAAGGGTACTGTTGTGAAGTAGACTTGCCGCTATTTAGTCTTTAATACTGACATATGGAACTCTCATACAGATTGCACGTATAAAATGTATTATGTATAGCACTAAATCTGTAAATTGCACGTGTAAAATGTATTATGTACAGCACTAAATCTGTAAATTGTACGTATAAATTTATTATGTACAGCACTAAATCTGTAAATTGCACGTATAAAATGTATTATGTACAGCACTAAATCTATAAATTGCAAGTATTAAATGTATTATGTTCAGCACTAAATTTGTGAATTGCACGTATAAAATGTATTATGTACAGCACTAAATCTGTAAATTGCACGTATAAAATGTATTATGTACAGCACTAAATCTGCAAATTGCACGTATAAAATGTATTATGTCCAGCACTAAATCTGTAAATTGCACGTATAAAATGTATTATGTACAGCACTAAATCTGTAAATTGCACGTATAAAATGTATTATGTACAACACTAAATCTGTAAATTTATTCGTCGTTGAGTAGAAAGATATTGTAGAACTCTTTACAATTGTAAACTACACTGTTCAAATAGGTCTTATATCGTAGATATACAAGGTCGAGTAGATACTATACATTTTCATTGAATTTTTTTTTATACTTTTGAAATCTCAATCGGTTTATTTGTTGTTGTATGCTCCTCCACCTTGATTGTCTTATTATTTCTCCAATTATATATTTATAAACCATACAGAGGCCGAATTTAAAGAATTTGAATTTAAGCCGCCGCTCAAATATGGTTGGTTCCACTTAAAATCGTATTTATTGTTTCAAGATTTAAGCCGGCGCTTAATTGAAACCGGTTTTTGGGGGATTTAAGATGCGACTCAAATTCATTAAATTCGGACTTGGATTATACAAAAAAGGGTATATTATGGGAACTGAGTTAAACGTAAATTAATTGATCCTATTTCAATAACTTCTCTTTGAAAATTGTTAAATTTTCTGACAATTACATTCTCTTGTTTCTGCTGCTGCATAACTCCACAATACATAAACTTTTACAGAGAAACCAGGATTGAAAATTATTAACTTTAAGATGGAAAAACAAGAATATAAGTTTAAGATTTTTTCCAGATCTAGAGAGGAAGATGTAAAGAGTAGAATTGGAAATTGTGCATGTTGAGTTGAGGTCAATTTAAATTATGTCGACGGTCAATAATTTTAAAAAATCCCTTTTTTTGAGATTATAGTGTTTGATATTTATCTTTTATTTGTTCCCTTCTTATTTTTAATGTACCATGTTCCCTGGCCGAATATATGATAAACATCTGATAAAAAGTGAACTAATCCATCAGACTGAAAGGATAAAAGACAGAACGTGATAAGGGAGAAATAAAAACAATAAATCAATGAATCTCTTTCAGAGAGAGGACTCAATCGCGTGATAGGAATTCAGGAATTTTTGTTATACATCTTTTATTCAATTACATCTTTAACATATTGAAGCTCACAACTTAAACTTAATTCAATAGTATTTTCTATTCTTATTGATTTATTATCATATACTTATGTAGGATTAAATTTATGTTTAAGCACACTGAAGAAACGATGACATTATCATTATTTCCAAAATATTTTGCTTGTAATTTCAAAATGCATTCTGTTGTTAAATTTTAAGAATAAAACATTGATTTTTTTTCTCTCTAAATATGCACTGTTTACATTGAACGAAATCTTAATTCGCCATTTTTTTAACAGTAATTTAAAAACAGGTTGCATGACGTCGTATCTATTTATTTAAAAACATGCTGCATGATGTCGTATCTATTTATTTAAAAACATGCTGCATGACGTCGTATCTATTTATTTAAAAACATGCTGCATGACGTATCTATTTATAACTATAAAATTAACAGTCAATATATATCATTTTATAATGGCATCTAGATTTTTTAAGTCATTTTGGTGCACGTTCTTCTTTACTTTTTTAAAATTTTCAGCTTTAAATTTTGAGTAACTTATTTCAGATTCGGGACACTACCAATATTTTCTCTCTACAGATCTCAAGTCAATGCTTGTATTCAAATTTACTGGGCATGGACAATTTTAGTGGTGTATCGAATTTTACCGAATCGAATTTTAACGGCACTTCGATTGAGTTCATATGCAAGCTGGCAAATATAATATATTTTCTAGGCAACCTTCTTAAATGAACATAGTTTAGAAGAACGGGGGTAGGGGGGGGGGGAGGTGGCAGACATAGAACCCGGACATGCGACTTTCAATGTAATCTTAGTTTTTCTCTAGATTTTGCATGTTACTCTATGTCATTATGCATTACGTCTATGCAAAGTTATATAATAAGTGTTAATATAAAAATATTTTATTAAAACTTTTCATCATATACAGATATTACATTATAAATAAAATTAGATGTCAGCTGACATATCAAGATATTAAAATCTTTAGTTTGGTAACTTCTTGGTGACTTTTCCGTTGAATCAGTGCTGTTTAATAATATTTGGTTTTTATTGAAATATAATTCAGAAATGCCTTGAAATTGAAAGACAATATGAGAAAGTTTCAGTCTCCTCTGCATTTTTCCAAGTCTCGAAATGAAACAATAAGTTTAGCTTGACGCATAAATAAAGGAATATATTTACATTTTCTACTAAATTTGTGCTCTTTAACGGGCGATATGAAATGATTTCATATCATACATTTACAAAAATACGCATACATTGACTTTCTGTATGTATTTCTCGGTTTGCAAAATAAGTTTAATTTAGATAAAATCAGAATGAATAATAATAAAACCCTTTCGCCGGACTCAACACCGAAATCTTGAACAATTATCACATGGTATTCAGAGACACCTATCGGTAAGATTTGGAATTGTCTGTTGTGCCCGGCTGGCCGGATTTATGCCACAAACAGCCAGTCCGCGCTAAAAACCTCTGTCGGGGTTTGAGATTTTCTGTCAGTGACGTTATCTAATTCTTTGGTTGGTTCAAGCTTGGACTGCTTGGTGTTGTTGTTTACTTTGGACGGACTGCTATTGGCTGGAATATGCTTTTGTGTTTTGATTTTATTGTTGACGTTTTCCGATGCTGTTTTGAATGTATCTTCAATTTGCTGAATACAGGTTTGAAGACAGTCCTGAAAAAAAATTGAAATAAGAAACACATACAATTTTCTCAACATTATTATTGAAAAATATGAAAAACTGAAAATTGTTGAAAATTAGTTTTTACGAGATAACTTTTTCTATGAGATCTCTGTGAAATAAAAAAAATCGAATTTTAGAAAAAGAAATTAATTTAAAAAATTTAGATTTTTTTACCCTATGATGCCCCTCAGGGCCCAGGGTTCCCATGTGATCCCTCAAAAACTTTTAGCCAATTTGGTCCAGCCGTTTGGCCAGCTATAGCTAACATATATACAAATATTTACATATGAGCGAAGAGCTAAATTATATAGATAAAAATACTTACATTCTCCACTCTGGTGTAGACCTGGAGTTTTTTAACAAGAAGTCCTAGATCCAGTCCTCCTCCATTTATTTCACCATCACCAGCATCTAGACTATGAGCAGCGGCAGCGAGCGCCGCAGATGAAAGCATACTGGGAGGATACATGGAAAACCTAAAAAAAAAATAACGTTATGAAAAAAAAATTATTATAGTAAATATTATAAAGATAGTCAAAGAATAGATAGATAGATAGTCTAAATCTTTTTCAAATAAAGGTTTTTCTCATTTACAATTTACTTTGTTCTTACAATACTATCGTTTAAAATGAACAAAATAACGAATTTAAAGTTCTAAGAGGTGAGAACAGAAAAAAAAATTATTATAGTAAATATTATAAAATAAATATATTTTGAAAATAGATAAGAACAAAATTAACATAACATAAAGAAGAGTAATGTAAAAAGAAAAAAGGAGAAAAAAGAAAATGCCTTTTTACCTGAATTCTGTGGCGCAAAGGATGATAAAGTTCTCCGTATGTCTCCGAAGTGCGGAGGAGTCTGCCCCCCACCCGGAGCTAGTGTTGGACAAGGCGGAGTTTCCATGACTGAGAAGGCGGAGAAGATAATCCAGGAAATCGTATGGAGTTACGGCGGATAAATCCCATTTCAGTTTGGAGAGAATTAGTAATTCCATTTCCTATAAAAAATTCAAAATTTTAATAAAGTTTTAAAAGTTGCATATTTATTGAAGTTATGCGTAGAATCTATTTTTCATTGCGTAGAACCTGTGTATGGTCGAGGTTTCGAGATTATTTCAAATATTTTAAAGATTACATAGATATATAGTTACTAAGCAGATAAACTAGTTTATTAGACTAGACTATAATATTCTAATATTTAATTATTAAATATATTTTTTAAAATATGAATAATATATAGATGTGTATCTTATATTGCAGAACTCCTAATAACATAATTAAACAGATAAAGTTTTTATTTTAAACTAATAAATTATCTATGAATCAAAGCCATGCAGAATAATTATTGTTTTAAAATATGTACCCCCCTCCTCCTCTTCTATCAACGGTTTCTAAATAAACTAGATTATATCACTGCATGAGTCAGAATATTATGGCGCGAATATATTTTCCATCGATTATGAGTTTGCCCAACCCAACCCATTACTATAAATCCGCAATCAACATTTGATAATCCGCGAACATATAGTGTGAAAAGACCGCCAACTTTTGGGTAATTCGATACGCAGGCAGGAAGGCAGGCAGGAATGTTTACGGGTATTTTGGCTCTTGTCGGTTGAGGGGGGGGGGCGCCAATGACCTTAAAAGTGCACAAGATTTATCATTGCTACCGTTTTGGGAGACTGCAGTGGGGGCATCTTGGGTCTGTATGCAAATAATTCTAAGGGATTATCTAGTCTGGGGTATTGAAAATACGTCTCAGGCTGATAAGATAAGAAGAAGCCCAAAGATGGATTTCAATAGGTGTTGGGTACAGTCTTGAATAGGGTTTAAAGTGACCAATATACCAAACTGATCTTAGCGCAATTTCTACCCGCAACATATTTATTTATTTAAGAATTTGTTTTTTTTATTATCTTCCAACTTGTGAACTATTCATGAATTTCCAAGACAAATATTTGTCCTGCTTCAAGCTGCCTAGTAACTCTTTATCTTTAAAGGTAAAAGCTAATCTTTATTTTCATTCATATTCTTTCATAAAAAGACCTAAGGTCAGTAATCTTTAACAAAACATGTCAAAAACTGTCATAAACCCGCCTTTTGTTCTTTATCCCGTCTAGAGATTACAGTAGGAAGGTTTAAATCAGTGTGAAATTAATAAAATGATTTAATATCACACAAGGAATGTGCATGAACTGAGACTAAAGTTTGTGAACTTCATTTAGAACTAGAACAAGAGGAGATATTAAACCATGAATTTAACTTGAAAAAGGAGAGACGCTGGTTTTAATGTAAATGCAAGGTCATGTACACTGTACAGGATATATGGCGCGAAATCTGATGTAAAGGACAAGAACTTTGAAATTAAAAAGGTCGTTTTTACAAAAATGGAGGGAAAAAGTAGGACTATGAAGAATGTAGACTGTAGGTGTATTGTTTTGAAGAAATAAATCAATTTTATGCATTCAAAACCGCCCAAACACATTCGGTAGGCATAATGACCTTCAGACGTTTAGGGGATATATATAATTTCAACAATTTTACTTAGCTACATTTTTTTATCCGCTAAGGTTTCATAAACAATAATTTACATTTTTAAAATTTTAATCGTGACATAAATGTTCGTTCATCATATTCGCGCCAAATTTATAATATAATACCCCGGAGAGAATTATATGTGCACAGATTGCAAAAATCAATAAAGCACGGGCATACATGAGGATCAGTCGGGTACAATATGTTACATAAAAATATATAATAGTTAGGTCATAAATAAACTAAATATTGAGAAAAAAATATTTTAATATTAATAGGGTGAATATTTAAAATAAACTTACCAGCAGTTCTGTGAGTTGGTAAGTATTGTCCGTGTATTTTATTAGATCACACCCTGTAATGGGACAGGGGTCCACAAGTTTTGAGCTGATAAATATTGTTGCTGCTGCGACCAACTAAAAATAACCAAATTTTATTTTTTGAAAATATTTCTCTGTTTAGCACGACATCTCAAATTTAAATCATGGTCAAAACTTGTTTTTTTTTTTATTTCCAAGAGTACAATCTTTATAATTTAAAATTCTCAAATAAATAATAAAAAATATTCTTACCTGAAACTGATTTTTTCTAATATTTATTTGTGAAAGAAATCTGTCCATCACATTGCAGGAGAGTAAAAATACATCAGCATGACAATTCTGATCCAAACAGACCTATATAAAATAAAATCTAGTTTTTTCTTCAAAATGTCGTAAAGACCGAAGACTCGTGTTAAAACGTCGAAGAATTTAAGAGTTATGTGAAACCCTAAATGTTTATTGTTGGCCCGTGTGCCTCAAAATTGACATAAATAAATCTTTTATTGTGCCCACACCGTAATGGCATTTATCTTGATAAAGGACCCCCCAGTCCTCCAGCCCTCCCTTCTCCCATGGTTAAATATAGAAGGACAAGAAGTTTTCAACCCCCCCGTCCCCCACCCTTCCCCTTCTCCCATGGTTGAATATAGAAGAAGGACAAGGAGTTTGCTGTTCATTTGGAAATCATTACTCACTCCCCAGAGTATAGGGACAGGGTGAGAGAGGTGAGCTCGAGGTTCCGAGATTTTTTCAAATTAATTGTTAAAAATATCCGCTGTCAGTTGACGGGGTGTGGGACAAGAGAACAGTTTTTACGACGTAGAAAAAGATGTCTCATGGTTGGCTATTCGTGACAGTCAATAATCTTTTTTGACATCCTTTTAGGAAAAAGAGTTTTATTCTTGGGAAAAACTGAGGTCGTATAAACTATAAACAAATACAGGTAAATACTTGAGGTAAAATGTATAAAAAAATATAATATTTTCTTACCTCTAGCATCCAATCTGTCACTATTTTACGCATATGAGGCTTAATTTCTGTTTGTGTATTCTGGAAGTAATTAGAGGCGGCCACGTAGAACTCCTCTATGTCAAGCATGTTCTGAAAGACCCTGGTGTCCTCTAGGATGACAGGGTCCCTGTAAGCCCGGCAAACCAGGGGCGTGATGTATCCTCCGAGGTTCCTAGCTGGGGAAACAGTCTCGCCAAAAGTCTCAGTGCAACGTAAATCCTCCATTCTTTCTTGTTGAAAATGCGCCAAAATAATGAGTTAGTTAGTGAATACTTATTTACAGGCCCGACACTCCTTTGACGGCATGCAATGCAGTTAATCAGGCCTAGGATTGTATGCCTTGCTCAGGGCCTAACGTATTCTCAGGCCTATAGGCCTGGAATGTTGCAAATCACGGTCTGACACCGACTCTAGGTCTTTCAGTCTGGAACTGAGACAAGAAGAAAAAAAACTGTCTAGACCTTCATCTGATTTTCTCGAACCAGGATATTTTGACAAGTCCCTTGACGCATTTTTCCCCGTCTTGACGCAGCCAGACGTCTGCTCCTTAATGTTGATGAGGGCCTTAAATCACTTTTTCCTACTTGTTTTCAATGTTCTGGCAGTATAACGTTTATTAAACTGCTTTATGGTGGAAAACAAACACGGGTTTTTGTGGAATGTTCTGTTGATTGTTTTGCTGGTTTATCAGGGTAGGGATTAGAGCTGGCGGGACGCAGAGCTCTTCACTATTCAAGGTTCCAACACAGTCTGATACAGATAGTCTGTAGTCTGTACTGTTCAAGACAAACTAGTCCCCTGCCGTACTCTGCACCCAGCCTGCCAGACTATCTATCTATCATTATATCCTATCTCTCACTATCCAATTGTATAACTAATAATTATGCTATATCCTCATTTGAATGTTTACGTGTTTAGTAAATAAATTTTATAAATTATTTCTCATAAAGTTTGTGTCTATTTTTTTAATAATGAAGAACTTTTTTTTCCTGTTTTGGTATTTTTTATAATAATGCTTAAAAAATCAAACACAGTTTATCAATTTTTTAGATTATATGAGAACTTGTCTAAAATATTCAATCCTTGCTATAGGAGAGGGTGTAGTATGCCCCCCTTCCCCTCCCCATAATCTAAGACTAAGGTTTATAGGGGGCGACAATTTTTTAAACACTTTACACTGAAATTCCCTACTCCCCACGCCCCTTCCAATATCAACCTGACACCACGTCTTCTCAACCCCCCCCCCCAATATGTCCCCAAACGCTCCTTACTCTCCTTTCAGTCATTACCCTTTAGATGCTACCCTCCTCACCCAAGTTGGGGCCCAAATTTGACCAGAGTATCCTTGTCTTTCGTTCCCCTTCCCTTGTTTAATTTTTGTCTGTACGATTAACTTTTAAATCAAATTCAACCATTTTCCTTTATGCAATAAAAAAGTTTCAAAGCAAAAATCAAAAATACTTTGCCAATAATATAATAATTGATATTTATCTTTTATTCTCATTCATCATCATTAATACTCTTTCTTAATTATTTTTATTCTGTATCCATAAATATCCTAAATTCATTATATTTTATCTTATATCTGAAATCCTTTATTCTGTATGAAATATCCTAAATCTTTATTCTTCATGCAATATCCTAAATTCTTTATCCAATATCCTAAATTCTTTAATCTTTATCCAACATCCTAAATTCTTTAGTTTGTATCCAATATCCTAAATTTTTTAAACTTTCATTTTTATTATCTATTCTTTTTTTCTGCATTTACCTGTATTTTTTACCAGAAAAAAAAAATAATAATAATGATTCAAGATTTAAAGGAGAAAAATATTGGTATCAATATGAAGTGGAAAAATTAGTCTAAACTCAAAAGAGAACAAAAAAAAAGGAAAAGTGATTATTTGATTAATCGAATCTGCGAAATAAAACGATAGTTTAGTTTATATAAAACGTCTGCTCTATGTTTGTCTCATGTTAATGTTTTGTGTTTATATAAGAAGGAATATACTCTCTGTCCTCAATAAGCCTGTTTACAAGAGGTTGCGTGGTTTTCAATTTTTAGGCCTAACTGAACAAAATAATTCTTAACGTTTTTTTCGAGCTAGCGAAATTGACAGAAGACATATCGAAAATTTATTTCTCAGACACAGATTTCTCTTCATTTGCTGGATAAACTGAGCTGAAAACTTTAGAATCGTGGATATCGAAACCAATGCCTTGATCTAGGAAAGTGTCTAAATGCAAACTATCAGAGTGTCCATTGCAGAACCCAAACAGCCAATCAAAATGGGCTGAAATTTTTGTGGACACTCATGGGTGGCCGTGGGGTGTTTTAGGCTAAAACAAATTCGAAATGTTTTTAGATTTTTTTTTAAATATTTAAAAGAAAAATTCACATTTTTTCCCCATAGGCAACGCCGGGCCCAAACGCAAGTTTTTAATAATATCTCTGATTTCTTAGTTCTGGAAACCGAAAATCGTAGAAATTCCTTTCAAACATATTTTTATGTTAAAGGAGGTTCTTTGCTGATTCCAAATTATTATTCTTATGTTTTTTTCTAGAATCTTTTTAAATCTAAAAAGTATCAAGTTAAAAACGTAAATTATGTATACATTATACTGCAACAAAAACTTAATTATTATTTAATAACACATGTTTATAACAATTGCAATAATGACAAAAATAATTTGGCGAGAAAAATCATAAATTTAAAAAACATGAATTCCCTTTGTGTAACCCCCCTCTATACTAAACTATTCTACCATGAAGATATATACTCCTAATGTACTCTGTTTGTACACTTCCCTATCCTTTCCCTTCTTATCATGCCCTTTGCTCTTTCACTTCCGACTCATTTACCCCTTATTCAATACTTATTTACCCCTTGTTCACACCTCATTTATCCCTTATTTATTCCCCATTTACCCCTTATTCACTCCTCATTTTTCCCTTATTGACTACTAATTTACCCCTTCTTCACTCCTTATTTACCCCTTTTGCACTCCTCATTTACCCCTAATTCAATCCTCACTTACCCCTTATGCACGCCTCATTTACACCTTATTCACTCCTCATTTATCACTTATTCTTATTCACTCCTCATTTCCCCTTCTTTTTTCTTAATTTCTTAAACCATGTTTGTTTGTATATGTAATGTAACCATCATAAGACAAGATTCCAATAACCGATTTGCTTCTGATTTTGTCTGGGGAACTTGATAGAATCATGGGAATGTTCTTAATTTCGTCTAATGATTCTAAATTAAGTGGATTGACTCCAAAAAGGAAAGCTTAGACTTTAAATTAAGGCAAAGTTGTACTTTTATATTTTATCCTCTTCTGTTCTCTTCTTAGAATTTTTCTTACTTCTTGAGTCTTTCTCTCACAACTATTTCATTTAACACCCTGTATATGGTGTATAATACAGATTATGGTTTAACACCCTGTATATGGTGTATAATCCAGATTATGGTTTAACACCCTGTATATGGTGTCCATTACAATACAGATTATGGTTTAACACCCTGTTCTGCTACCAAGGGATACAGATATCAATCTATCAAGTATCAGTGGCAGTTCACGTGACTTGCAAAACACCTTTTTTTGGACATTTGAGTTCGGATGATTTCAGGGATTTCAGGGTTTTCTGGGATTTCAGGGTCTCCTGGCCTCCTAATTTTAATTCGATTATTCCTAAATTTGTTCATTTTACTATCTAAATTTTTTTTTGAAATTTTTTTCGACCAATCCCTTGATCCTGTTTGTTCCCCTGGATTCATATCAAATTATGTATCACCCTACCATGATTTTAACAATTTTTACAAAATTCCAGATTTCAAAATATTTCCAAAATCAGATCATTCTGTATACAGGGGTGTCAGTTAACGTCAATATTGATGTGGGTGGGGAATTTTTGCCATAAAATTATAATTAAATTATCAATATATATTGCCAATTAAGAATCTTAATTTACATTCTAGGTTTCTACTTCGGATTTTTTCTGTTGGCTCATTTCCAATCTACTAACTTGGATTGGACATCTTGGATTAACAATCTTTGATCGATCAACCATCTTGGATCCCCATTTTGGATCATCCATCTTGGATCATCCATCTTATAGATCATCCATCTTTGATTAGCCATATTGGATTAGCCATCTTAGATCAGCCATCTTGGATAAACCATCATAGATCATTCATCCATCTAAGATCAGCAATCTTAGATAACCATCTTAGATTAGCCATCTTAGATAACCATCTTAGATCAGCCATCTTAGATAACCATCTTAGATTAGCCATCTAGGATCAGCCATCTCAGATCAGTTATCTTGGACCAGCATCTTAGATCAGACATCCAGGATCAACCATTTTGGATCATCCATCTTGTATAATTCATCTTGGATCAGCCATCACCATCTCAGATCAACCATCTCAGATCAACCATCTCAGATCAACCATCTCAGATCAACCATCTCAGATCAACCATCCTGGATTTATCACTTCCGATTTCCATCCACTGGACTTTTTTGTCGTCTTATCTTTTTTTGAATTCGCCATATTGGATCGGCCATCTTAAATGTGCCCTGGAGTAGCGCCATGTTATTTCAGTTTTCCTTTAATTTTCTCAAATTGAGAATTTAGATAAATTGTAGGAACAGGGTGCCCTTGCTTAATGACAAGCCTTAAGCTAGCATAGGCATGGATAGATAGATAGTCGAGGTATAGATAGACAGAAGACGGATGAATAGATGTAGGGTAGGGTAAGGAGAGTATTGAAATAATTGTATACTGTAGAATCTGGGGGCTATTATACCTAACTATTTCATTAAGACAACCATGCATCTTACTGACACGTAGGAGGACCCAGGGTTGGGGCAAATAGGGTAAAATTGGGGGGTCAGGGGGGAGTTATTCTTCTATAGGAAGGTCGGAGTTAGATAGGAGGAGTTTTTATTAGGAAGGTTCAACACGTTTTTCAATCCGATAAACATAGTAATTATACAACAAAAGTGTTAAAAATACGAGTTCAAGCATGAGCTAAAATAATTTGACAAATGCATTTTTTATAAACATATAAATATATATATAAAGAAGGTAAAAATTATCGAGTATTAAGAAAGTTAATGATAAAGGAAAAGGAGTATCTGCACTTTTTACAAAGTTAAATCAATAAGTGTCCCATAAGCAAAAAAAAAACTCGATAAAACAATCAAAATTTGGGTGGAAAGTATCTTGTAGTTTGCATCAATACCATTGCCATCGCCTAGGTTTCCAATCCTGAAATTTTTAACGTGTGTGTATCTATAATATTTTTTCTTTTAATTGTTCAATGAGATTAATTAACAATTAACGGTTTTCAAATGACATTTTTGACACATTTCTGAACTACAAAATACATATAATTTGGATTAGAAAGATTTCCGAAACCAAAAAATCCCTAAACAATTGGAAAAAGTTCAAGAAAGTAGAAAAAATCGCAAGTAGATGAAAAAATCCATCCTGAGTAAATAATGTAAAATATCTAAAATCCTACCTGTTCCTGTTGTTTAAAACAAATTGAAGCAAGTAAAACTGATTTCGTAAACAAAATGTAAACAAAGATTGTTAGTAAACAATCAGGATTTATCTAGGATTATACATACTTGAGCTTATATAGAGTACACTGAAGGTACAACTATACTTCTTCTAGCAATATTCATAAGAAAATACAGTTTAAGATTTCTATTAGTAGGGCAAATACAAGTTTGCAGAAAAAGTGTGCCAAATTAAATTTTGGATTTTAACTTTTAATTGTTGCTCTGTCTGCGGCATTTGCTCATCTAAAATTATCATACTATAATAATAAAAAAAT